GCCCCGGGCCTCCCGCGGCCGGGGCGATCCCGGACCTTCCCCCCGGGAGCCGCAGGGCTTAAAACAGCCGCCTTCCTCCGAGCGGGCGGGGATCGCCCGGGTGAAGGTTCCCGGTTCGCCCGGCCCTTCCCTTCCCCTGCCGTGCGCGGCCTCAAGATGTCGGCGGTGCGCAGTGCCAGCCCGTCCAGGAGGGCCGCCCAGGGTGGGGGGGCACCGCAGGCTGGGCAGGTTTGGGGCTGCGTGTGGGGAAAAGGCATTTTAAGGGCACAACAGGCACCCCCGGGGGTCCCAGCCCGAGTGCGCCCGAGAGGCTGCTCGGGTCGGAGGGCGAGGGGCTGAGCCGCAGGAGCACCGGGGGCGGTGGGCTCGTCTGTCCCGAGCTGGGGGCTGAAAGTCCTGCGCTGCTGCACACAGAGGCCAAAAGGGCAAGATTTCATCTGTGCCATCCGCTCCTCGTTTTAACTGCCCCGCCAAGCTGCACGTCCACCGCGGGCTTCTTCACTGGGAGCCGTAGGATGCGATGTCCTTGTGTCCTCCAGGGATTTTCCTTCCTGCAACGCTGAAGGATCAAGTTAATTGATTACCTTCGGAGTGCTGAAAAATTAATACACAAAAAAAATCAGCATGACTTATGTTTCCATCACTTAAAGCAGCACAAGGCTGGCTCCACGACATACCAAGCCTTCCGGACCACCCTGCCCTACAATTACAGTTCTGATGATCTTCATCTTAAACAGAGATAAAAATAAATCTGTGATGTCAAGCTCCTGACTCTGAGCAGCACGAGCATTGCCCTGGCATGCCCTGGTTTCCCCAAACGCACCCTGCCGCGGCACAGGCACGGGTACCGGTCTGGTAGTGCCGGTTCTTGGACCTGACTTCACTTTCAGTTGTGTGGTCACTTATACTGGGGCAAAAAAGCAGGAGAGTGGTGAAACCGGCCAATAGACTCCAGCAGAATTATGTCTGCTTGGCGTTCACTCTATATATGAGGAAAAGCAAATGTATTATTTCAGGAATATATCCTCTTTGCTATCAAATAAACTGAAGGTTAATGAATATCAGGTATTGCTCCTAATGAAGTCCCTCAGAGTGTTTGCTCTTAGCAGTAATCAAGTCCAACTGCATTCATATTTGTAATACTTTAAATGTGTAAAAATTAGTTCAAAGTAGAAATCTAAGAATACAAGTACAATTTGATTTATAGAATCATTAATTTTCATTAATATTTTCAGTGTGTTTACATGCGTGGAATATTTTAAATGCGAGGACCGTTCTCTACAGCAGATTGGAAAATAATGTTTCCTGGGGGCTCTGGGGTGGCCAACGTTTGCTTTTGCTCCTTTGATTTACTGACTGAGCTGATTCATTGCTTTACGGGTGCTTTATGCTGATGGCTGATCATAACTACATGATTGTTACTGAAATGAATTGCCGTGGCATAGAAAGCACTTATGGTTGTGTTTCTGCTAACCTGTAATGATTTCCTCATACCAATGGCAGCTACACAAAATGGGAGTAACAATCCCAACACACCACCTGAAAAAATTACAGCCACTGGAGCGCCCGGGGCAGCTAATCCAGCACTGCAGCTGCACAGATGGACCCTCACGCTGGGCAGCACAGGTCGCTAATCCCGGCTCCCGACAGCTTTCGGGAGCGTGTGCCAGAGCCTGCTCCACCAGAACGTGCTGCTGTGCGGCCTTGGGAGCTGCCACCAAAAATACCTTTGAAGGACACAGCTGCCAGAGGGCAGAGAGCACAAATCTGCCTCGCTTCCCATATGCACAGCTTTAAAACAGTGATTATTTAAGATACGGACTGTGTGTTTCACAGTCGGCCAGGCGAAGTCTCCAGCCTATGCTGGAAGAGCCGTGCGTTCCCCCGTCCCCTGTGCTGCCACGTCCTGCCCCTTTATTTCAGGGACTTCTCTGAAACGCTGCCCTGCTCCCCTGAGGCTCTCAGTGCTCCCACTGCTTTCATCCCACCCATGCCAGCATCTCTGCTCGGTTCCACCTGATAGGGGCTCAAGGGGGAAGGGGACAGGGAAGGTGGCAGGAGAACTCCTCAGAGCAGAGCCACAGTGACGGCTTGGCTGTCAGGATAAGAACCAGACAGCGAGAGGAGGCTGTCAGCAGGCTTCCCACACAGCTCTGAATGCATCAGCTCTGACCTGCAATGCTCCCATTATCCCAGACGTGCACTTCCTGGGAGGACCTCCGTCTAGACCTGCGGCTCTCCGCTTCACTGTTCCCGTTGTGGATCCACCCTGTCCGGTTTAATTGCATTCTTTCTTGTCACTGCTGGCCAGGATTCCCTGTGCTTCTCCATACCGAAGGCAGTATATGATGAGGCACGTCACTGCCACCAGGACCCCCCATTTCCTTGCAGGGTCAGCCCTCTGGCCCCAGATTCTGAGCAGAATAACAGATTAAATTGACAGATTACAATTATTCTTGCCTTGGAATAATAGATAGAAGGTCCCTACAC